CTAGTATACATAGTATACAAGAATTACCGATTGTTATTTGGCGTTGGTATTTATACATATCTTTTTCGCATTATGAAAGTTTAAATCTATAAAGACAATTATTACCTACTTGTCTTTATAGGAAATTAAATTTTAGATGTAATATAAATATAAATATATTTAAATGTGTAATTAATTAAGAAGCCAAGATTGAGCTAAGAAGCACACTATTGTGATCCTAAACTTCTGAATAAGTAAAGAGAAAAAAAAACTAAGTTTAGTTAACCTAATATTATGAAGAAAAAAGTATTTGTAAAAAACTTGTAACTTTTGTAAAAAATAAATTCAAAAATAGTTATTCGATTTTAAAACTCTTTCATCCATTCAAAGCTACTTTTGCATAGATAATTATAAGCTCTATTTTATTTCAAAAAATTGAGAGTTTGTCTTCAATAAAACTACTTTACGTGTGCAAAAAAAAAATATACAAAACCTATAACTGCTCGCGTAAAAAAGCTTGTCTACGTGTAATAATTTAATTCAAATTACAACAATCATTGGCGTGAATCACTTTTGGGACACTTCCGTATCATTGGCAGCTGGTGTCATCATCACGCTAACACTGTGTGGGAGTCATTGAATTGACATTTTGTAGAAACAGAAACAATTGTGTAAATTCTATAAATATACCTCACTTTAAGGTAAAAGAAAAAAATGTTTCTTTTTGAAATTATACGCACGTTAACAATTATGAAATGTTTCTTTTGATCTCATTTGTATAATATTTTTATTAAAAAGCACCGAACTGATTTTGATGAATTTTCTATGGGACCCATCTATATTTAACCCATCCAAGATGAGAGTAATTTCAAATAAAAAAGAACCAATAAGGAATAAAAAATAATCAACTGAGAATAAATGAGGTTTCATATACACAAAACCTTATTTCTTGTCATCAATTAAAAATACAGTTGAAATTTTTAATCGTTTCATTTCGCTACGAAACCTTTTAATTAGTCGTTCATGAATATTGAAAACTGTGTAATTATTTGTATTACAAAATTAAGACATAATGCAAAATTTGCGAGCCGTTGGTCGTGATCGCTCTTAACCAATAAATCTTTGTTTCTCATAGTACTATCTCAACTGCGAATATATTTATGACATCATTCAGTCACCTATAGTAGTGTGATAAAAAAATAAGTAATAAATCATGTAGTGATTAATTACGTACGAAAATTTATCTACAATGTAATTTTTAATGTAAAAAATAAATCAGACAGTTATCCGATAACCGTGGTGGTATGGCGGTTTAATATAGCGTACTTCGTTTTTCTATAGACGCAGGTTCGTATTAACAATACTAATAATTTAGGAATCATTTGTTTAGATGTATTTTTATATTCATTGGGCGTCTTCTATATGTATAGGTATGTAGTGGAAAAAAAAATTAAAACTATAGCTAACGTATAATAAACCATGTTTTCAAGATAGTATAGTTAACTAAATGTAATTGTCTTTTTCAAGGTATTTTATTCTCTTTTATTTAATAAAAAAAGTAACACAACACTGCAGTATAATAATTAATTTGTCAAAAGGTTTTAGTTTTATTGACTAAATGTAGACCACTTTAGCAAAAAATATACACATCATATCAACCCATTATAGAAGCTATATGCCATATAAAAAATATACACCCATATCATGTTAAACCACAGTAAAACTTAGAAGTTATATGCAATATAAAATCTTCATGCTAATTTCAACAATACATCTTTACTCTTCTATTTATGAATAACAACATCAAAAAACTATTTAATACCACATGGAAAATCCCCAAATTGCTGGCGAGATGCGACCCTCTAAGCCCACCCTCGGTACCCCATTCCCATCACGTATTCAATATATGTCCAATCAATTATAATGTCCAATTACATTATCAATTAGAAACCATGTAAGTGTTATAGTGGCATCAATATAAGAGACTCCGTCAGGGTTGGCAACTTTTAAACCATTAGCCTCATATAAAGACGTTAAAACCTCGTACCTATATATATAACCATCCAAGGTCGTACATCGTCATATTTTGACCGACCACAGCATCGTCCGATCCCACATCCAATTCAATCGGGGAAAGAGAAATGAAACAACGACGGCTTGAGCCTAGGTTTGAATCTCTAGCAGTGCCCTCAAACTAAAGTCGTATTCGTTTGGCCGGAGTTGGCTTTCAGCCGCTCCATAAGTCCTTCCGCAGGTTTGGAGTGCTACCTGCGCTTATCGTTCGGTGAAGCTGTAAAGGCCAGCTGCGGCTAACAGCATTAGAAGGGTTCGAAAAGAAACCGACGGCAGTACATAGAGGGGGCGGATTAGTCGCGTCGAACTTAACTAAAATACATATACAAAAAACAGTGAAATAATTTGTCATTTTCCGTAAGTCAAAAACTCGTACAGATTTGGACCATGATAATAAGTTCTCGTACCTCACACCGAAGACTTCGTACTTGAACTAAATAGTAACTACTTGTACGAGAATTCTCGTACAGTCGGCATCCCTAGACCGGGCTCACATTTGTCCAGTAATTGATCGTACGTTTCCAATTTACGACTGTTTTCGTGGGCACAAGTTAATGTTACATTATTATACTATAGTACATCTTGTTTGGTATTAAAGTGATTTAAATGTAACATACATTTGCTATTGGTGGCATCAATTTGTGTTTAGTTACACATAAAATACAATTTATAGTATTAGTAACTGTAACTCATGGCTTATGAGTTAATGTATTATACTGTATATCGAATTTCATTAAATTCCAAATATATTATTATAAAGTAGTTCCCGGGCCGTCATCCGCGTTATACACATATAAATGCTATTATTATATTAATAAATTAATTAAAAATAGCAGATAGCTTAAAATTAATAAGAAGAAACAGTAATATCTGTCCTTTTTTATATATATTTTTTGGAAGATTTCTTTAGCCTATCTTTGACTCACATTTAACACTATATACTGTGTAAAACTTTATCCTAGCTTCACCAGCCGTCGTTTTTACATAAAACGTCAACACACAAATAACACATGAGCAGTGAAGGTGAGTATTGAGGTACGTCGGCAAGGGGCCCCTTAAATGTACACCCGGGTCACAAGTCCCAGGAACTGTTCAGAATTTCTCTGCCACACGATTGACCTGGCTCCCCCGCACGGTGAATCTATGGAATGCTAAGACGTTCGACTCTAGCTGACACTATAATTATACGATTATATAATCAAATTGGTAATTTCATCAAACCAAACCCATCATTACTACCATACACGGACTAAAGGCTTCAATCTCTACAAATACAAATTAATCAAACCGTAGGTAGATAGATACGAGAGGTTGTCAAGCGGAAATAGTTTGTTTAAATCTGCATATACGCTTTGGTAAAAAATATTTGCAGTATTTAAAACTTATATATAAAATTCTCGTGTCACAATGTTAGTCACCATACTCCTCCCGAACGGCTTGATCGATTTTTATGAAATTTTATATGCATATTCAGTAGGTCTGAGAATCGGCTACTATCTATTTTTCATACCCCTAAGTGATAAGGTAATTTTTTTTCTTTTAGTCTTTTATTTTCTCCTTTTTATAGTCAATGCTCTTTAACATTTTTACAATAGTGAAATGGCACGTAACAGCTTGGACTAAAAGTAAAAATATACAGGTGGTAATATGGAAGTGTCGAGGTTATGACAATGACAGTGGTCAGGTTTCTCCGCCTTCGAATCACCTTCCTGGCCATATTTAGCGAGGGTATGCATACCTTATATAGGCAGAATCTGCTTACGATACACGAGTAGCGAGCTACTCAAACGCATGGCATGTGTGCTAAGAATTAAAAAAATGTTCCGTAAAAAATGGTCCAAAAGTATTATGCGAGTCAGGTTGTATTCAATAAATATTTAAGATGTCTAATTGTTAGTATATATAATTTTATGGCCGAAGTAAATTTATAATTTTACATTGATTCGGAATCATAATGGTTCAGATAAGTCTGCAAATGAAAATATAAGTGGTTGTTATCGATATTTCATCCTCACGTCCTGGAACTATTGGCCTTGGACAGTGTGGTCTCAGAGGAATTACGTACTTATTATTGTTCCTTAAATACTTAGGTTGTCAAATGTACCATTTGCCGAGATTTTCTATGTAGAATGTACGGGATTTCCAAATCCTATTTGTAAAATTTTATAAAGGATCGAATAAAAATAAATCGTGTATTCAGGTTTTTCAGGTATCCATAGCCTACGGATACCGTCAGACCGTACCGTCAGTCGTCATGGCCGTATGCTTGTTTAGCAATCCTGGTTCAATGTGGTCAATAACAGAATTTTTTTATTCTATAAGTCTTCGATAAAATTCATTCAAGAAATGTCTAACAGGACAAAAGTCAATAATTCCTATTTATGATACACGAGATTAATATGAGTACAGAAATATACGGCGCATTTTTATACGATGTACGGTTTTTAACAGTTACTGTATAACATCACATGTATGCATCTATATCTGACCGTGAATCTATAAATAACGAACTTACTACGTCTATGTTTCTCTTGATAGACGGGCAAAATCCTGCAGACCAATGTAATAGAAAAATAAAATAGAGGAAACTTTGTTTTTCTAAATGGAGAAAATGTGCCTAGTGGGTTGTTTTGCAATGTATTGTGTCAGGGCGATCTTTTACGCAAACTATCTAGAGTCCAATCGTCGACAATTCTTAACACTGATTAAAAAAACAAGCTGAGTTTATCGCCAATATTTCCTATTTGTGCGAATAGTGATAAAAAAAATGTACTTGCATTAGCAGAAAATATGTCCAATATAAAGCAATTTTGCTAAATTCGTCGTGGAATAATTGCTCTGGTTACCTTCTGGTACCTGACATCGTAAACCATTATCAGACAACTTCATATTTCTCCGTAAAAAAATTTTGGTGAATAATTCTAGAAGAAAAAAATTGGATAACTCACCAGCACGGAACACCTCTCCGCATCCATCGCAGCGGCTAGCGAATTGGGCATCATAGCAGTTTCCGCAATAGATCTTGTCCAGTTTAGATCCGAACTGCTTGTCCACCAGCGACACACGGCACTTCGCGCAGAGGAAGCACGCCTCATGCCAGTGCTTGTCCTTGTACGACAGATCCTGGTAGAAGAGGCAATAAGTTCAATGAAGCTGCAATTAATACTTTTTTTTAAATTAGAATACCGACTGATACGTCAAATCAAGCTAAAATTTAAGATTTTTCATGATATTAGAATGGCAAACAAGCTAAAGATCCACCTGATAGTAATCGGTAACCATCACCTGAATACATGAACAGCACTACGGCTAGTATGTTATCACGACACCCGCAATACGATACATGCTTTGCCATTCTAGAGGGCTAAGATGTCATGTCAGGTAGGCTTTCTAAGCTGTGTTCTGCTATAAAGTGTGTGATATGGCAGTAAATTTAGACGGTTCGGAGACATAATAAGCCATGTATAATAATTATACGCATTTAACAAAAATTATATAGTTTATAAGAAGTATAACGGTTTATACAGATGAGACAGAGGTACCCATGAAGACGACTCTGTACATATCTACCTCGGTTAATAAGTAGGCATGTGAATACAATGAAGTTTGAAATGTTTGTAATATGTATAATATTGTTATTCGTATGAAGTTGCAGTTTATGATAAACACGTTCGAGATTATTGGTGAAACAATGAGGCAATTCACAATATTGTTGTAATCATTATCATATATTTATTGTTATTTCATGTGATATATGTAATTATGTTGCTAATTATTACCGATGAAAATCAAAACGTAAGTTTATTAAATGTTTAAATATATGACGTATAATTTTCAATAAGAGCTGAAGACATACTGGAATAATAAGTAAGTAAATAAGTATTCATAATAAAGGCTTTATGAATACTTTGAAATTTAATAGCTAATTAATTTCTTAATGACTTGAATGTGATAGGAAATTCTGATCCTTTATGTGAATATTATGTAAATATTATTGGCATTCACAACATTAGGTAATTATTAAACAAGTTTTATAACATAGCTGGGACAGCGTATGTATTCAATAGTATTTGATTCATTGCTCTTTTAATTTACTAAACATAAATTCGATTATATATTATTTATTGATATTAAAACTAAGAGAGCTCGTTGACTACAGTTTCCCAATATGCTCACTTAGGAATATTACATATAAAAAAAAAAGAATATAAAAATATACGTATTACGTAAGTAATCCACTGCCATCCTGAGAAAATTCATTAAATTACACAGGTAAATATGATATAATTCTGGTAATCCATTGACGACACCGTTGAGTAGACTGAGTACAAGAGAAATGGGAGCCTAGCCTTTTCTCCATGGAACATCAAATAAGAGCCGTCTGCGTGCTTGTATGTAATAATTAGGCGCTGGTATAGATTATTATCTCCTTGTAATAATGTGGGTCATAACAGTATTTTTTTACTACAGTGACACTTAAGATTACTACGGACAAACAGATAGACTTAAACATGAGCGCATGAATAGATAATATCAAGGTTAAGAATAGTCCAGTTTCAAATAAAAATGTTCTTGGACATTCATTACGCGATTTAAATAAATAACCTCATTGAACAAATTGAATTGAGAACGAAAATTACCACAATAGACAAATAAGAGCAAAAAACCGAGATTTTCCGAAGCAGACAGCATCTGTTGTCATAAACGAAGCGACACGTGGGCGGTAATTATAACCTTCGCCGTTGATGAGTCGAGATTAAATCAATAGATGTACTTATTTGGACGATACATACATTTTGTGGGATTTAATATCCTGACGGTTATAAATTACTATTGCCATTTTCCTAAGGTTCATTAAGTGTTGTTTGCGAAAACACCATGTTAGATTTACATCAGACATCTTGGATTATTTTAAAACATGAATCATCTATTTACTATGCAAGATAAACAATCGACAGTAAATATTCTTTAGCGTATAGTGTTGGAAGTTCAGTGCTCAAATAATGGGTGTTATCAGAATCATCTGGAATTTTGAATTTTGGGACACGATTCATGTCGATGTAATGTGATTCACTGCATTTGCCGTATACACTTTTAGAATTGTAAACATATGCATCCATACCAACACAATAATGTACCACAAGGCGAGGATTTAATTCCTAAGAAGAATTCGTCTACTAGAACCACGCTAGCCGCTGCTTGTTGTACAAATTTTGTTTGTTTGTATACGAGTATTACATGATATATGCACATATGAACAGTTCTTTTAAAACGTATAATAATTGTACATTTTCTTTTCTTTTTCTTATAGTTATTTCTAATTTACATCCTGGTGATGATAAGAAGTGTTAGAAAATGTAAAATGTACCAAAGATCCAATAAACGTATTTTTGCTATTGATCTGGCCGCCAGTTAAAATCTGTTTTCAGGTGTCAATATTTTAGGTTTCGTAGGACATATGGAAGAAGGATATAGGGACATATTTTACTTAAACTATCTGGATTAGACAATGTCGCGGTAAAATATTCTTCTTTTTCACACAGAGATATACATAGTTTGTGTTGCATATTCGACGCTCGCGTACAATAATCAAGTTTCAAAATAAAGCTCCCCTCTTTCTGGAATCTATTCCTGTCCACAGAGCGAGCTGCAGAGCGGACATTTTAAACTGAATGTCGTAATGTCAATAAAATATGAATGTTTATTTTGGCCGATTACGAAATACTTAGTGGGTCTTGAGTATTATAAATCTTAAAAGAATCGGCTGACGGATCCACCCATGATCGTTCAAGGTTACCGAGTACGAAAACATTAACATAACGTTGTATCCGCCCCAGAAATAGTTTCATTTGTAGCAACACGCGTCGAATTTTCACAAAATACTAGTCAATTTGTTAAAATCCAGTCTGCAACGGGCAAACAATCCAGCACAATGTTAACAATATTACTAATGTTTATTTTAGTAAACATGACGCTAATATTTCGCCAATATACTTATTATTACAACCGCTTATTTTAGTCCAAAATTTTGCAATCAATTCGGCTGCAGTAATGTTTTCTTTGATTATTTAAACTTGTTATTACGTTGATGTAATTACGGAAACAATTGGGTATTAAAGTAAACAGAAGACGTTTTGCAGCTGTTTGTGAGACAGGAAAAGTCATTCGGCAGTTGAGATAAATGAATAGTTTTGCGTAGCCGGTATAGTTGCGTACATGTTATGTTATGTTGGCTTGGCACCGCTCGCCTGGGGCCGTGTGCAGAGGTACAGCAAAGAATCTGGGACGACTGGAGTGTCACTACTAAATCCGATCGTTGTAACAAAGCTAGAAAATACCACAGATCTTATAGCTGTATGTAAAATCGTAACTAGATACATATTAACTGCTAATCATATTATAGAACACAATTAAAATGTGACAATTACAATATATACACATAAATTAAATGATACGTCTTCTAAGAAAGATATTTCTAGAAATATTAATTTATAGCGATATTCTATAATCTGTGACTAATTTTACCGTTATGAAAATAGCAGAATATTAAAATATAACATCGGCACTATTTTAACATGAGGTGGCTACTAATGATGTGTTAACTAATTGGATCTTTATTGCATCCATATTAATGCTGCAGTGTTAAGAAATAATAATTATAGAGTTGTTAATTACTTAATAGATTGGTTGAGAATATTTTTACTATTAAGTGGAGAATGTTTTGAATTGGTACAAGAATGTACTGTAGACAAATGAGACCATTTTGAATCATAGTTGATAGAATAGTTATGATAATAAATATATGAGAACGCAATGAACAGATAAATTTATAAATTATCTAAGTATATCACATGTTTACATTTTTATATTGAACTAACTATTGTCTCCAGCTTTACACGCTTGATGTCGTTAAGTTAAAATTTTCAAAAATTCTACAAACCCGATGTTTATCTCATAAGATCATCTTTTTATTACATTATCTTATACAATCAAATTTCTGCTTTCTGGACTAAGTAGTTTTGACTGTGTGTCAATCAATCAGGACAAATGATTTTATAACTACAGATGTAATTATGCTTGACTCTGTATCAAAAGCAATATTAAGATGTCCATGTATGAATCTGACGACGACGATTACGCTAAATCTCACCTTAGAGTCGATGCCGATGGTCTTGTTGCATTCCTCGCAGCCGTTGGCGAAGACACTCTCGTAGCACTTGATGCAGTAGGGGTGCTCATCCCTGAGCACATAGCGCTGGCCCGTGAGCGACTCATCGCACTGCCAGCAGCAGAAGTGACCGCTGTGCCAGTCCTTGTTCATCGCCTTGGTGTACTCGCCGCTGAAAATGAGCTGTGAACAAAGATATAAGAATTTTAGATACTAACCAATGGGTCTCATAGAAAAATATGGTTCTTTTATGATGCTTTCTCCAGAATTTGATTTTTATGGAAATTGTTTGTATAAATAATGATGATTTAATTAGACATAAAAAAAATGTTTTTTGCATAAACTTATTACGTAGACAGAACTTATGACATCTTAAATTTATGTTATTTTTTAATTATATACTATTGCGTCGTATAATGACATAGAAAGTTTGAAGAATAAGTATCCTATAAATACCTTAAATTAGGTCGGGTATGTGAGGGTGGCCAACAGACAACGCCTGGCGCATAACATATAGCAAGCATTGTATATGTACATGTCACTTAAAAGGTCGAACACGATCGGTAATCGACACTGGTTGACACAGACACACTGGCGTCACATTGCACTGCGCACGCTTGGCCACCACTACACATACCCATCGTCGTTAGTTGTGGTGGTGTTGGTCTGCTCGACTTCCGTCACGGTCACCTCCCCATCCTTGGACTCCCTACGCTTGGTGCTCTTTTTGACCTTCCTAGTCTTCCTTTCAGTAGTGGTATACTGGACTTGAACGTCTACGTCGGCCATTGCGGTCTTTACAGCCGGTTTAGTGTTAGGAAAGCGATATCACCGGACGCGGTCACGACCCGAATTCGAATGGCGAGAAACGGTTGCCGAATCACAGGAATTATTCCAGAATGCTTAGCGTCGCACCGCACGAGACGGTGGGGGGAGTTTGGGATTTAAATTTGGAAGAGTGACGGAGAGGGCAGGTGCGCGGGCGTTTACTTTCCGAGCGTAGCGACCCGAGAACCTCGTCCCGCACCATCTGTGATCCTGATCAGCTATAGAAAGCGTACCGACGCCGCGCAGCCGGCATTATTAAATGGTATATAGGGCAATATACATAGGCAAACGCTGTAACGGTGTTAAGCGCTCCCTTATCGCTTGGCCGAGATTCAGCTTAGTTATTATTGCCGAACAATCATTGATTTACGCTTGACGTTCGACCCAATAAGCGCACAATTAAATGTTAGCAAGGCGTATCTATTCCTGGCAGTTTGGATGGGTTTTGTTTGCAAGCCATAAAACTATGGTATGCGCCAAAATCAACAGTGTATAATATTGTTATTGACTAGTCTAGCCTAATTCAATATATATTGACTAATTATATGATTGACGGCATATTCGTACTTATCTGATATTAGAAAACCGATTTAATAGTCTCACAACGTTTATCGAGTAACAAAGGCAACAAGAGATTCTTAATATTCTTAGTATTCAATAACCGTTTATCATTTACTGGGCCGTATGCTCGTTTGCGATTGTTGTGATAAGTATGAAAAAACTTTTGTATATTTCATAAGATTTTTGCACGGATTACCAAAACTGAACTAATTTCTTACATTTATTGCAACACCGGTACGTTAATTGGCATGTTAATCGTATGATCATGATTACGATTGGTAGTTCGTAATCCCGTGGCACCTTTTTTTTAAACGAATGATAACCAGTTTTCAAAACCAAAGAAACGTACAAAGAGATTGATTGGAAGAAATACAATCTATTTGCACTCACTAACTCCATATATATTGGAGGGAAAGGGAATTGTTAATAATGTGGACTGATTATGTGTATGACCTCCACGCCCCATCCGGTTCCCCATGAACGGAAACCATCATGGTAAAATACACTAAGAATTTGTCACGATGGGCTAACTGCTACCTGATTTTATCTGCATCTTATCATCCTCCACCGGTGACTCGCCAGCGTATACCATTACCGCAGGCGGATGCACCATTCCATTATCATCCATAAAAATACTCCACATATATTAGTGGATACATAAGTAGTGAATTTGCAAGTGAATGTTTGTAGAAATGATGTCGAATAAGAGAATTATGTTCTAGAACGGAAGCGATACAGACCTACCGACCTAGGGTCGCACCACAAAAGGACCGCGTAGCAGTTTTCATTGAGATCCGCTTAATTACACTTGATTCATCACTTCATGTCTAGTATGAAGGCTGTGTTTATATGACCAAAAAAGTATGGCCAGGTGATACATTGTCCAAAACATATTATGGTATAATAAGGATAGAAGTAAATGAAAGGCTAAATGCCAAAAATGGAGGCAAATTTACAATATAGAAAAACCGTTTAATGATTATAAATTTCTATACGTTACCTATTTATATTAGAGTATGTTAAGGTTTCTTAAGGGTCGGCAATGCGCACATAACACCCTTAGTGTTTCAGGTGTCCATAGGTTACAGAACTGTTTACTATCAGCGATACAGACAATTTTATATTTTGAAATAAATGGTACTAATTTAGAATTTATAAATTGTCATAAAATCGAATTAAAATAAAAAAGTAGAGGAACTGGCTCAAACACTCTAGGCCCAAGTTGATTGTGTTGTTTCAGACGAGTTGTAAAAAAATCTGCACTTGCTATATTTTTTATATATTAATAACTCTGTTCCACAGATATAGATTATAAATATCTGTAGTAAAATAAAACACAATTGTTTATTTATAATCTAGAAAGCATATTGTAGAAAATAGTATTCTTGAAAGATCAATATTCAAATAATCGTAATTTATTTAAAAGTGTACGAGTTTTCTCATAGCAACATTCACGTTAACGAGGACTTTTTTCCACTAGCACTTTAACCTAATGAGTAATTTTTCTTGTTTATTTTTCTCACAAATTTTTCAGCGCGTTTATTTCATATCTAGTCTAGACATAGCATAGGAGTGTTAACAGAAAAATTCAGTAAGCCGACAGGTTACATAAAAAATCCATTTATCAAATTATGGAAAGTATATTAATGTGACCACTAAGTCCCTTTACCAAATTCTTATAAGACGACTAGAACAACAAAATTATAAAAACATTATAAATTATAAAAAAATAAATGCATAAAAAAATATATTTATCATGCAACATTCTAAAAATTATGTCCAATATAATTCCTTCATTCTCGGTCTCTGTGGTTTAGCGGTTTAGTACACAGCCTTAATTCCGATGGTCGCGGCTTCCGTTCCTGGCACTGTACCAACATTTGTATTGATGAGTACAATTGCTTGTATAGTTGTTGTTGGGTGTTTTATATATATTTACAAAAACAACGTATCTGTATATTCATATCAGGTGTCTAATACTTATAACATAAGCTCTGCTTAGCTTGGGACTGGATAGCGCCGTCTGAATTGTCCAGAGATATGTTTATATTATTATTACCTAATTGGTATTGGTATTAGTACAATTATTTGGTATTCAGTATAAACTTCAATAATAATCCTTTAAAATATATATTTTATTTAGATATCGTGTGAAATATATTTGACTTTAATTGTAAATTAAATCATTTGCTTTGTGAAAGCTTATAAAAAAATTACTAGTTTTGAGAAACTAATTTTGCCCACAAAAGAGGCAAGAGACACGAGAGATACACAAAAAAATTTACACCAAAAAAAAGCAGGGTTCAAATCTACCGATTTTAGTGGTAACGTCATTAAACTGGCAACACTGCCGTGATGCATTCGGACCTCGCTTCCACAAGGTCTGGGTCGGATCCATTCATCGGTTTATTTTTAAATCATTCGCTTACGTTTCCGCGGTCTAACCATAAACAACACCTGGATGTGAGATGCGCTCTTGAGAAAATGGATGCTGATTGAATCACTGATTACTCGGACCACTTTGCGATCAATGGAGGTAACAATTACAGCTCTTGATTTAGAAATCTGACTGCGCAAACCGAAATGAAACCAATGTATGGAAAACTGAATCAGGCGGCGTGTATGAATTTGAAGAAAAAAATAATAGGCTTTAATCTAAGATACGGTATATAAGAAGAGAACCAAATATCCATCTTCTCATAGTCATAAATTTTCTGTGATTATAAAAAGTGGCCAGCTCCTGCTACACACGGGATTCATATACACAATTTCATAATTTTTATTTTAATACACACATATATCTACGATATCGATGGCTTCTAAAAAACTGTAGTCACTTCACTTTGCTCTATTATCAATAATTTCCGCAGCGCCGGCGATATAAGGATTTTTTTTTGTAATTTTTCACACGAGTACCTATGTACGAACGCATGCCCATGTTTATGTGGTAACAAGTCAAATCAATCAAATCAAAAATTATTAGATTTGATGATCATTTGATGAAAAAAATTACGTGCATACTGATTAAAATGTCCTACATGAAGGACTTTTTAGAATTAATTTTTTTCCCTACCGTCCAGTTCAGTGTACTGATTCAATTAAGAAGAACTGGCAATAAATTCAACTGAATTTTTTTTTAAGCCCAGTTTTTTGACATATAAACAACTATTACCATACACGAGTGTGTAAAAATCGATATAGCACTATTTATAAAAAAAAAAAAATCTCTGAATTATGATTATAACTAGAAAACTAAAATTGTTATATAGAAGAAAAACATTTTAAATATGGGTGGGTAGGTAGGTATAATTGTTTATATAGTTTTATTACAGTGCTATTAAAATTAGTAATTTTATAATTAAGTGGTTTAATTAATGAATAAATAATGCTGAATTTATAAAAAATAATACAAACAGATCAAGTATTGCTTTGGCATGATTTCGAGTTTGATCTAATATTAGTGCCTTGACGAATGTTACACCCGGTGTTCGTGAAAATAGAAAATAGAACAGTAATTTCATTTTGATGTATGAGAGTTTTGTCAAAAACTGAAAGATGTGCAATTGGGTGACAGTTTGACAGGATTTTTTCTGAATTATTGTTTTTTATAATGTAAATGAAGTATACCATCAAAGATGAAACATCTAAAGAGTTGGCGTCTCCATAAAAGAGATATAACTCTACCTATAATAAAAACTTTTTTTTTCTTATTTAAATAATACAATATAAACTTACAGCTAATTGCCAACACGTTTATATTTTAAAACTATTATGCTTGAACTATATACATTACATAAATATATGTATGTATTTCTAATTTAGGTAACTCTATTATTTATTATGATAAAAAATCATAATTAAAACATTTTTATACATATAGGTCTATTACAGACTGTAGATATATCAGATCTACCATTATTACGGAGTTCTTTGGAGCTGAGAAGAACGACAACACACTCAGTTCTTATTCTTTTTGAATGATTTGTACATGTTTACAAAAATACAGATTAATTTTTAAATTAAAATGTTATTCTTTTATCATATATCTATCTATTCATACTTATCAAATTTTTGACAAGAAAGTTAGCTTGTTTAATTTTTGACAAGAAACTCAGCTCTTATTATTTTCGAATGAGTACGAACCCATGTTTACAATATACTTCTAAACTCATACTTAGCAAATAGTTAGAATGTTTAGTTTTTCAAGAAACTCAGTTCTTATTCTTTTTGAATGGGTTTGTACATGTTTACAAAAATACAGATTCAAATTGTTAGGTTGTTTAATTTTTATGTGCCTGGAGCGACATTGCTACACAATTATTAACAAAAACAAGCAATAATTTTACGTGTTCAATTCCCGAGGTCTCGCAAGACAGTCAAAAGTGACATATAAAAAAAATTATCAAAATTACATAAATATTTATAAAAAGAATGGTTGGCAAGCTGCCAGCAATAGCCCCCATTCAAAAATATATAAATATATTTTTATATATATTTATATATTTTTGATTTTGAATGGGACTATAAATAAAAAATAAACATAAATAAAAAAATGGACAAATTGAGATTCATGCCAGTTCTGAAGTAACAAGCCGAACTGGACGATAGGGATACCGATAACAATAACATGTAAATCTTGGGCTCAAAAGGACCTGCGTTCAGAGCCGTAAAACATATTAATAAAATAACATCATTATTGAAGGTCCCTCCGTCCGTCCGTTGTAAATGTTTATATTCTTGCCATGCCAACAGTGTTGGAATTAAACAAAACACCAAATTCTAATTCGGTAGCCTGTGAATTGAACTTCCGCAAAATAGCACCTGATCAAATAAAATATACCACAGGAATGTTATCTTACAATTGAAAATTCCTATTATTTTTAGATTCGCGGCCAGTTTGGTATACAAATGCAATACGCGATGTGATTCGATACCTACCATAGATAATACGGTCGATTTAAATTGTATTTTACCATGTTGCGTTAAAGTTTAAAATTCAAAATCAAAAATATCTACTCTTACACTAGTTGTTACCCGCAACTTCGTCTGCACAAATTTTCAGCCCTTTGCAGATTATTTTTTTAGATATTCGATAGACTATCCATCCCCGTGCTACAATTTATCTTCATATTAAATTTCAATAATGATGATATGTGCAGTCGTTTATTCGAAAAATGCTATCAAACAAACAGATAGACACACTTGAACTAGAACATTCTTGTAATTAACACAATTGCTATATTATTGTTAAAATCAGTATTTCAACATAATATTTATCGAGTACAATATCTAATCTATACAAATAAATAAAATTGTCTTTCATATTGTCATTAATACAATGTTTGTTTCGTACGAAATTGAACCTACGACCATCAAAAGTGAGAGGGTGTGTTACACCGACAGACTACCGCGACTGTCTTCAACAAAACTGTAGTACTCCGTCGTAGTACAATCTATTTACACGCCGAATTCCATTAAAATAGGTTAAGCCTCTTAGACATGAAAAGATAACAAACAGACAGACAAGTAGACACTTTCGCATTTATAATTTAAATATCTATATTAAATATATAAATAATTTTAGCAAATGAAATGGGTTCAATGACATTTATTTAGGTCCCCGGTTTTTCTTAGTGAAAAATAACATAAAATGACTAATCGAAATGGATTATAATTTTAGAGATGAAAATAGTTACGTGACCAGCTGAATTTTAACGACAGACAAAAATAACTGCCCTTAGCTATCATTCGTGAAAACGTACAAGAATCCGTTGTTATAAAACATGTTTAATTGATCCATGTTCTAACAAGTGACTATGGGTAAAAGTAAAAGTGGGATTGTTACTTGTGGACTAATAACACCATTACCAGCAATGTACCATTACAGGTTGACCTCCAAGTGATCCTCCTGGAAACCATCGTGATAAATTCATGGTGAATTTACCACGTCGGTCTAACTGATCTGACCCCATGTTCATCTTGTCATCCTCCACTGGTGCCTCGCCAGCGTATACCGTGCGCAGACGGGTGCATCAATTTATTATCATCCATAAGAAGAAAAAGGTAAAAAAAGTGATTAATGAAAATCACGGGATCTTACCACGTTTTTTATTTATTGAGCTCCCGATATTTCAACAGTGTTTCAACCGTCATGATCATCTATACATATAAAATAAATAAAATTGGAGTCTCTGTTTGTAATATTGAAATAACCGTTTTTTACTACATGCATATGAATATAAATACGGTACATACATTGGTGTATGTAATAACATTTTTGTAAATTTTGACCTGTCTGTCTGTTCCGGCTAATTGTCGATATCACGTAAAAAATGGTTATTTCAATATTACAAACAGACACTCCAATTTTATTTATATGTATAGAATTATATGATGTTCGTAGTGCTGTTCATTTATATAGGCGACTATTACCATTTACCATCGTTTGGGCCGTCAACTTGACATTACAGTAAAAAAAAAACTTTTGTATAGACGAATTTTTAGATATGATTTTTTTACAATACAATCTATACCATAATAAATTATGAATGCTAACTGTACAGCAGCTGGGACATTATGTTACAGGAATATAAATAGTCGAGACTGTATTCCGGTATGAAAACAAATACTACAGACTGCGGTTAGGGCAGGATATCCTATTGTTGTACACGGGCTACCTGACGTAACATTATCTTATGCTAAATAGCATTTTTAACAGTTTTACTAGCTAGACCTACAATATCGTAACCGTGGTAAGGTTGGCATAACAATATATAATCACTTTTTTGTTTGTAAACAGATTGAAAGAAAACAAAACCATCGATTTTAATTAAAGCTTATCCCTATACATCAATAAAGATTGCATTGCAACCAAATTAGTTAAGCCGTATCTGAAATTTGCACGATCGTACAGCACAAACATTCTAAAAATCATAATTTTGGACTCTATTAAGTTGATAAAGAACCCCAATAATACGCTTATTTTCTCTTATCTTACTTGGGTAGACACCGATTAAGTAAGTTAAGCAGAGTTTGTGTAATGTGTACCAGATAACTGATATAAATACTTTTATACATTGTTTTTATAAATACATACATAATTTTCACAGAAAACACCCAGACCGACAGAAACAATTATACTCATGACCATGCGAGGAATAGAACTTGCGCTCATTAGAAGTAAAACGGTGGTCTAACTAAACCTCTAGACCACCGAAGCCGTCAAATTGTAATAATCAAAATATATTGTGATAGAATACAATTTAATTGTCAAATTAATGAACCCGAATACTAATATAATCTTAGCAAAATTGAAGCCTTTTTGAGTCGTGATTAATAATGCCTTATCCTCATATGATTTAATTTTCTCCAAAAAAACATTAATACTAGTAGCTATTCGGAGAGCTGAGTCATAACCTGATATGATGTAACTGACCAAAATGGTTTCTGAATAAAACAAATTATCCACATGTAAACAAAATGCGCAAAAACTTCAAAAGTAAATACTTTTGTTGAAGGTCACATGTTATTGTCGAGTAATTAATGTTAACATAATCTTCGGAAGTAATTTTTATTGATAAGCTTGATAATTGAAACCACTCAAATGTAGTTGCATATTTAAGTATAAAATTTATTTCCTTAAACAAATACTAACATATTATTTTTTACTTTGTCAAATCCATCATCATCAAAGATGCAGATTGCATCATTATTTTTATCTCTATATTCTACAACACTCGAACTTCCCGGTGTCAAAATTGACTTGCAAGGTGCACCTAAATTTGTAAAGATTCAGTATGATTCACCTTTTAAATAAATTTAGATCCTAGATGTGCTATTATGTAAATGAATGCTATAAATTTAGATAAAATACAACCCTTTTAAATATCACCTCGATAGGGCAATAACAATAATCCCTTTATGTACTACAAGTGACATTATGGCAAAGGTCGCAACTGAAGTCTGTTGGCGGCGTCATCGCGACACATCTAGGTCGAGGTCCTACACCGTATCGTATATTTTCGGATACATTGTGCAACAATCTTGATCTTCATGTTTACAGATTCACAATTCTGGGATTAGGTGTACGTAATTATAAAAAAAATTGTATTAATTTTGTCATCTGTCGACATTGGTCACTGATTCTTTTTAGTGTCAATAAGAATTATGAAACAATTAGATTATTGTATTCCTTCTTTCCTATTTATTAATAAAAATAATAGGAACCTTAACAATTTAGATCACTATTCTAATCTCAGATCGTGCAATTTGTTTAGAAAGTACCTGTATATAAAGTAGATGTTTCTGTACTTTAAGTTCCTTCTCTACAGAAGCCAAACGGATTAAAGCTCGTGACATTCCTGTCTATAAGGATGGTGTCATCATTTTCACGCTGCAGGGGTCTTGATAAAGAAAACACGCAAACAGGGAATCATAATAGTTTAATAATTTAACATTCAGTCATGCTCACTTCGAAGCGTTCGTGCTACGTTAATGTTAAAGCAGCACTAATCTCCGGAGTTACCCCAGAAATCTACGTCTTCGTCTTCTGCCGTTACCTCTTTATCTTTCGTGTCGTCCGTTTCTTCTTCGAAGGAGTCAAGTTTCGATAAATCTTTAACTCGGAGCTTTAATTCTGTATTGTCGTCTTCGGGCAAGCTGTCGACTGAGGCCTCGACGCTCCAAGCCTCGTGTCTTCGCTCTCTGGAATTTTCTCTCGATCGACTTCTGGAATTAGAACGCGGCGCTAGATTAGGTGTACTCCCGAAACCTGTGTAGTTTCCATCATTATTCATACGTTCAAACTCGGTCTCTTCTAAAGAGGTGAACATCTTTAGTTCTTCATCTCGAGATGCCCGCGACTCTTTGGAAGAGTTCGACGATGACGAATGACGCTTTTTGAAACTTCTGCGTCTGCCACTCGGGTCGCTTCGTTGCAATGGTCGATATTTAATTCCATCAAGTGATCTTAAACAAATTTACAATATATGAGTTGTTTTATGATACAGATGAGTGATGAACCAGAGATTGGAAGTAGCTCTCTACTCGTGCATGGTAATAATAATGCCTGTGATGATAAGTGTGTAGCTAAGTCACTACTGATTGATGATTATGTGATAATAACAATGAGTCGTGCAGTTCAACATCAATCAATAATAACCTTAAAAAGTCGTCGCTGTAAACTCCTTTCTTCTCTTCATCTAATGATTGGAAATGTATTTCGGGCAGTGTTTGCTTTTCCTGGGTGGGGCTCAAAGGGCGGTAATGCCAGGTCAGTTTCTCGTTGGCTAGGTCACTCTCGACGGCGTCACTGGTATCACGCTCGAAAGAGTTTGCCGAAATATGATTGGAATCTGAAATATTTTCGGAAGGCGTAGGTGATCTGTTTCTATACCCCACATTGAAGGATTCGGACGTGTTCGTTATGATTGTTTTCGTCTGTGTAGGTATATACCTTTCTGTAGATCTGTAGTCACCGTTTGCTTTTATTGGGATTTCCTCAACAGATTCTTGACCGAAGCTAGAGATTTTAGTTGAGAACAGTATAGCTGTTGAGTTAGGTTGCCCGCCGTAGTACTTCACCGCTGCTGATTTTAGATTTCCATTTTTATCATCTGTCAAGCATAAGTACCCTTGACCGCATTCTTCTGTCCAATCGTTGCTACTAGATGGATTGGCCGACTTATGAAGAAGTTTTGTGTAGTAGTCGACTAAATCTTGAAAATCTGGATCAGTTTCAGGTAGTAAACCACTTAATATGTGCCTTATAGTTTCAATGGCGTCTTGTATCCCGGCGTAAGCAATGACGACAGAGAGAAACAGTCCCATTTCGTCCACGATAATCACAGTTTGTTTACAAAGGAATGGAATTGGTGAGGTACTTTTTAAGGGTTGAAAGGGAGAAGGATGGATGCAGCGATGTAGCGCTGGGACAAGATTTGAACAACTGAAATTAAAGTGTAATGCTTGCCAAAGATTTGTGTCCACGTTTAGAATTTGGCGATGCAACTAGACGTTATTACATTATGTCTCTTTTGATAGCGGCCAAGGTCATGGCAGCTATATGGACGAGACAATAAATATGATTTACCTATCTGATGTCTTGTTTGGTGCGCAACAATATCTAAAGTTACTATTGCAGTTAAAATATAAATTGGTTTGTTCTTTCTAGACTTCTTCATACACTGCAATTCTTAACTCCTGTTCAGATCATTAAGTATTTCATTGATAACGCATTGTATATAATTGAGAGTTTTAAGGGTAACAACTTAAGTGGTTTCAGATATTCTCATTTCTTTACATACAAAGAAATTTTATCTTTTTATAATATTTGTATAGACTAAATAGATAAAAGTCACATAATTATTATTTAAGTATTTCACCATTACATACGTATATTCCGAATTTCTTAATGAGTGGTGTGTACCAATGTTCTTTTAAACAGTAAGAAAGGTACATGCAATACAGAGATATAGGTTACGAATTTGTGCGACCTTTCTTTTGATTCAGGGGTTAAAAATCTTTGCGCACGACTCTCTGTGAAACACTCAAAATACATTTTTGGATTTGAAACATTGACATTTTATTTTGTCAAACTGCCAAGAGTGGGTACCTAATTTTATTGCAAACGACCAGCGTACAAAACACTGTTATTGTTGCCTATACACTTGTTTTCGTTTTGATCGATTTATTTCAGACGTTTCCTGTACTGCTTTCGGTTTTGTTCCGCTCTTCTATGGCTTTTCAACACGGTATCTTACGTAAGCAATAAGATAATCCTACTACTATAACGTACCTAAGTCAAAGTTTGTAAACATGTTTGAGACACTATCATTTATTAAAATAACATCAATTGTAACTTTTATACTTAGATCATTTATATAATGAACATCAATAAAAATATATACTATATAATAATTAATAATGTACAATCGCATTTTATAAAGAATGTGGCAGTTTTCTTGTCAGTATTTCTTCTTTTTATAATATAAATAAAACCCTTATTAAGTATATCTCAAAACTAGTACTGGTCAGAATCTTGATCAAAATATACCACATGAAAAACAGCAGCATTCAAATCATTTTCACCATTTAAAATTATATAATAAGAATTTTCAAGTTCAACAGTAGGTTAAGGCTTAATGATTAACCTATAATGATTATTTATCAACCGACTTTTATAAGGAGGAGGTATTAAATTCGACTGTATTTTTTTTGTGTGACCTTAGAACTATTTTAAACGTTTAGTCATTGTCAGTAAGAAAAAAGAATAATAAAATTCGTAGTTCTTATATTATTAGCTAGCTGATCCGCGCAACTTTGTCTGCATCACACTTATCATCGTATATCGCCCAAATTACATAATATCGTTTTAAATTATAGCCCATGTGTCATTCTGATGTATAAACTTTGTTACTGCAAAGTTTTTTCAAAATCTGTTAAGTAGTTTTTGCGTGAAAGAGTAACAAACATCCATCCTTATTCACAAATTTTCGCATATATATCTTATCTTATCAATCTTAGTAAGATTACCTAATTAGTAAAAAGATGCGTAATGTATACGTAAAAGTCATAGTAACAAGTTACCCACTGACCTAATCCAAAGAAAAGGTTATGGTAATAGCTACTAAGGAGAGACGATGGTACCGTCCGAATTTTCTCGCAATTGATCTTTTCACAGGTACGTCACACAGAATCTCTCGCGTCACTGTGACGAATAGCTCTCTTTCCACAATTAGAGCGATCTGTAAACATTGTGCTATTATTGCACTAAATATTTAGAACAAATATATTATGAATCATGCGTTTTGGGTATTATTTCGGGTGGAGCTTCAATCAGTTTACGTAATTGGAATAGCTAACAAGCTGACAGCCCATCTGATGGTAAACTGTAATCATCGCCTATATACAAGCAAGGAACTAAGAACGAATGAACAGCACTAAGAACAATTATGTTATCATGTGATACTACTCATTTAAAACTAGCTGTACCCGCGACTTCGTCCGCGTGGAATTAAACTTTATTTTTCTAAAATAAAAGTGGCCTAAGTTACTTCTTAACATCAGTTATCTGACAAATAAAAGTCCCGTCAAAACCGGTCCAGCCATTTCAGAGATTAGCCAGAACAAACAGACAGACAGATAGACAATATGGTAAAAAATGTTATTTTGGTGTATGTGCCGTATTTTACTATATGCATATTAGTATTTTACTACATGTATATGTAATATATTCATATGCATGTAGTAAAAAAACGGTTATTTCAAATATTACAAACAGACTCTCCAATTTTATTTATATGTATAGATGTATAGATGTCATATGGTAATGTATTTTACATTTTTTTGTTTAATTGATTTAAGATATTTTTTAATGTGAAGTTTTTAGATAAAGGAAGAAAGTAAGAAATCCAGCCAAATAATTGAATAGTGGCAACTTTCCAACGTAAATTAAGTATTTTAATCAAACAGGACACGTTCGGCTATATTATAATTTTAAACATTATTATTAATTATATAATTGTTAATAGTTTTTGCGAACAAAGAACTGTATTTATATTAAGTAGGTGAATATTTATTTATATACTAAAACTTTAGCTCACAAATACAAAAATAAAGCGTATGGCGGACCTCACACCATAAGGTTTGGAATTTTTAAGAAGCAATCTTATAATTTTACATATCAAAATAAGGACGATAACAGAAGAATAAGAATGACAATGTACCAATATTTTTCTATATAAAATAATAGCCAATAAAAGACTTAAATAATATGTATGTGCGTCATGAACAATTTTAAGCGCCCGAAAAAATAACGCTTAGAAACATTGAAACTTGGCAAAATTTCGAGTTACTTATCTCGCAGAAGTATCTAAATTCTGTCAAAGACATATTGTATACATGATTCTGTTTATTACTATGTATGGGTATGGGAATGAATATATTTATAGCGACTATATTTAAATCTATATTGAATAATTTATAACAGAGTCCATTCACGTAGATGTGACAAATAAGTTTGGTTATAAATAAAAGATTAGACGGTAGCAACTGAAAGAAACTGGGGATATTGCTGCAAGGGTCATTTTTTCATATCTTTGATTGTGCTAATATATTTTAACAATTGTAAACCCACTTAGGATAATACGCTAAAATTTATTTCTATATAATACTCAACATAACATTCTCACTCACAATATTTTTAACAAAACTCCTCTGAAGCGGCTTCACCGATTCTTATCAAATCTTGTGTATATAGATCTGTGAATAGGACATTTACTATTTTACATATCCCAAATTGATAAATTCACCTTAAATTTTATTGCAGCTATTTGGTCATTTCTTATAATGTGGCATTAAAAAAACACGTGACCCTAAACTTTCACCCTTCAATTTTTTAATAGCGAACTTAAATAATTTTCTCGGTTGTTGGAATTGATAAATTTTATATAGTAAAATAAGGTTTGCCGGGTCAGCTAGTAATACATGATATTTCATAGTTTTACTAAAGTGCCAAATAAAAAACACCTATCTGTAAAAGGCGAATATATATGAATAGATTAATGAATATAGAGTAAACCAAAGAGATATGTAGTTTATATTATGAGCATTTGATTTTCCTAATAATAAGAGAGTATACATTGATATTTAGATATTGTTATTATAGGACTAGTTTAGACAAAACATCAGATGTACCGTCAGAATCTGAGCCACTCCCAGTTATAAAAGAAGCATTTACTGTAATAGAATATATCGTAGATAGCCACAAGTCCGCCTACAACGCTGAACAACGTACAGCGAATGTGTTCTATTCACACGGACCTAGCGCGTCATAGTGAGCAGTAACGTCATGATCTCCCCAATTAGACTGGCCAGTACACTATTATAGGTACACTAGATCGTACGCTGCTCTAAGTACATAGAACTATTCAAATGACTCATATATTTTCGGTTTCATATATAGATAGTAAATTGAAGAGTATCTAATTGTTAAACGTTTTTAGAGAAATGAAACATGTGGTTTCTGCGGGCAGGTGCTATATTTTCAAATTTATATGTCTGTTGTTGTTTCTAGTAGTCTAGTTCTCTTTGATTTTGAAGAGGTTAACTCTAATTTTGTCTTAAAATCATTAACAAGCCTTAAAAACACTGTCTTGATGTAATCGAATTTTTCGAATTAATTAATATCTGTTTGGACTGGACTAGTCTGATTTGATTACTATAACATGTATTCTGTTACTTAAGTTACTACTCGTATTATATTTATTTCTTACTCTCGTGAATTGGTACCATCTGATAGTACTGAATTGAAATTTAATGGCATTAACCACTTTTCGTTTAAAAGCATTTTGAGACCACTATTTGTAAACAACCGTCTAATAATTTTAAAAGCAGTACTTACAATTTGTACTGAAACAACAATTAACATTGTCTAATTAAACCTGAACACTCCTGCCAAATAATAACGAATTCCCAGTAAACATGAAAATCTTGGATGGAGTCCCAATAGTGGCTAGCTCTCCATCTTTAGTATATTTTGGTACAAGTGCAATGGGTGTTTAGGCCAAGACTTTTTCATACAAAATAATTTATTTCACAGCAAAAGATACAATACCATAATTTGCGCGAGCCTTATCCTTTAAAGTTTATATAAACCTGTATTAGGATGAGACTGCTTGATATTAAAGTGCGTGGGTACTTTAGTCTCGTCTATTTCAGCCCCCATGCAACTTGATTTGTAAGTTGCTTTGATAGAAGGGCGAAATAAGGCAGATTACAGAATAAGGGCATAACGTCTTAGTTATTTGGGATTAGATGCGTAATCACGGGCGTTACATGATATTGCGATGTCCATAATGCTGTTCAATGGAGGGCTTAA